GTGGATTTATTATTGGGTTCGGGCGTAAGAGAGGAGGCTTTTAGTCGGACATATACAACGTGTAATTGAGTACACTGAAAATCTCGAAGGTTATTAAAATTAAACTGAGTAGGGACGATTTTTACAGATAGCGGGCCCCATCAAAAGAACAAAAGAAGATTTACCACGGGCCCCAGATGGTATAGTTAGATGATTTCGCTTTTGTGTGTGTTAACTAGAGTACAAGATGGAAGTTTACAATTAAAATCATTACTTAACCGGTGAAAACCGCGTAATCACTCTCTCTGAGATATGTTGGGTCAGACCACAGCCTGTTCGAGCCGTGTTTCAGTGAAGTTCATGAATAAAAGTTTTTCTTTAGCTAATTGGAATTTACGCGTGAAAAATAAACGAGAGTTTATTATTATGTACTACAACTTATATTCGGTAGTGGGATCAATTTTAAAGGCGATCTCTTCACTTAAGCCTATCTGATACCTAATCTGCTGTTTTGCTGTGTGTATTTTTTGTAACATTTTTGTTTACCAAAATTGATATATATTTTAGAATAAGATAGCTTGTAACGAACTGTAAATATTGTATTATGTATGATGTGGTAAACTTCAATAAATAAATATAGTTTAAAAAAACTAAAAAACACGCTTTTAAAGCACATCAAACTAAAAAGTGAAAAATAATTCCTAATTTAGGCGGAAAATGGTAATGAACAAAAAATACTGGTATTATTGTGAAAAAGCGTGGGTTGCTCGTGTTTTGTTCATTACCATTTTCAGCCTAAATTAGGAATTATTTTTCACTTTTTAGTTTGATGTGCTTTAAAAGCGTGTTTTTTAGTTTTTTTAAACTATATTTATTTTCCACTTTTTAGTCCTAGCAGCAATACGTGTTGTCTCAATTTAATCGTATTGCTTTGCGGACTTAAAAAAAAATTTATTGTTATTTCGAGATAAACCTATGAAATTATTATATTGTCGCTGATTCTTTATAAGTGTACAAAGTTTGAATTAAATCTGTCCGTTTAATGTGGGTCAAAATCGAGTCCGAAGGAGTCGGTTACATACATACATACATACATACAGGTGAAGCTAATATAAAGCGTGTAATAAATAGAGAACTCCAAGTACAAACTTCTTGGTAATAGAGGGCGTGGCAGTCTTTGGCCAACCACAATTTTTTTTTTTTTGACAATTCACACTAGTTGACCTAGTCCCATGCTAAGCTGGTGAAACTTGTATTATGGGTACTAGGCAACGGATATACATACATATTATAGATAGATAGACATATAAATACATATTTAAACATCCAAGACCTAAGCACAACACCAAATGCTCATCACATCGATGTTCGTCTCAGCCGGGAATCGAACCCGGGACCCATGGATTCGCAGTCAGGGGTACTAACCACTAGACCAATGAGTCGTTATTTGGCAAATTTTCACAATTGGCAAAGCTATACATTATATATTATAAGAAAAGATGCGGCACGGTCGTTATAAAGAAGCGCAGCTTTAAATTGGCAGATTAAGTAATATTTTTATTTGTATTGATTAATCTTTTACCTAATTTTTTTGGAAATCCATGTCGTGAAAGTATGTTATGTAAAGCAATATAGGTAATAGCTTCATTGCCATTTTATATATTTCCTCTAAATCGCTGAAAATATAAAAAGTGTTATACCACTGTACGGCTTTTTTATCGATCTAAACGCTGTTTCATTTATTCCGTTAATAAACCGACATATAAGCGACATTTCATCTAATATCCTGTAAACTATCGTTACAAAACAATTTCTATGGCACGAATTTTATGAATTACGGTCCACGGACGGAGTAGCTATAATATACATAAAAATACGTTCACTAATATTCACGCCATCTCAAGGCCTCACGCCTGTACAACGCATTGGTTAGAAGTATGTTAGTGTGACATACTTCTAACCAATGCGTTTTGGGCTCCTAAACTAAATACTGTCTTCTGTTGGAGCGCATACAGATGCCTTTATAACAGATTGTATGGCATCTATCCCTAGTATCCCTTAATGTACCTAAAATTCTCTTGGGAATGGTGGGGTCCAATAAATTGGAAACCAGACGGGATATCAGTTGGCCTACCATATATACTGATAGTCAGGGCCAGAACCAGTCTGTTGCACAGTTCCCCGTTAACAAAGACGTTGCTACTAAATGCTGTCTCCGACTCTATCATACTATATATGTTCGCAGAGTGAATTGACATGAGCGATATGGTGTATATTATGTGTGGTGCATTTTATTTTTTCTCGTATTGGCATAGGCTGTAAAAACGTATTTCTGTAAATAAATAATTTTTTGAAACAAAATATTACATGTAAAAATACACCATTTTAGAAATCGGTAAAAACTTCTTCTCTTTCTTATCACACTCTTGACAGAGCTGTCGTGATCGCTATGTATAGTAGTAATATTAGAAGGAGCAGTTGTGATGCGTTTTACTAAGTTTCGCCATCGTTGCCGATCGGTCATTCTGCTGCACCGATTGACTCAACCTCCTACGGCAAACTTGATCTGGTCAGTCCAACGCGTAAGTGACATTCCGTGCGGTTTAGTGTCTTCCACCTTCCCTTGGACCACAGGGCGTTTTATGGACTGATCACCACGCCGAGATACGTATCCGAATAATGTAATGATGGGAGATTGTACTGTTGCTGACGTTGCGTAATACCGAATTCGGGTAAAAACATGCACCAGTAATTATAGTAAATAGATCGCGAAAACCTTGCACCTATATATTCCGCTTGTCGACGATTTCCAGTTAATGTGAGGGGTGGGAATCGGTAATTGCCCTGTTTTTCGGCAAATAATATCGGTTTACTGTTAAGAGTAGAGAAAAATACACGTTTATATTTTCGTATCTGTGTTATAAAGCTGAATAGGAACGGACCTTTCTCAGGAACCAAGTTGTGGAACGACGGACGACGAGGTGATACAGGTGGAATTTCGTATTCTGCCTCGACGTCCGATGATGAAACTCACTTTCCGGTATTAATCCGTACAACTCTTCTGAACACTCTCCATGGTAAATGCAGGAGAAATGAATGACCCCACATCTCTACGCAACGACAAGGGATTCGAACCGCTCTTCGTTGTATACGGTCGTGGGACGGACACCGAGGTGATACTGGTGGAATTTCGTATTCTGCCTCGACGTCCGATGATGAAACAAATGAAGGTTCGTTGGCTCCTCCACCAGACTGAGCACCAATGGATTACAATGCCTCGTCATGCCTTGTACCCAAAAAGTCGACAGCACAGAAGACTGACCGCCAACTTGTGTATTAGAAAAAACAAATGACGATACAGAAATCTGAAAAGATTGCAGCGCCACTGATTTTTTTTTATCATTCTTAATGTTAAAAAAAAGATTGTTTTATTATTTTTTCTGATTGTGTTCTTGAAATTCGTGAGTTAAATTAATATAGTAACTTTCTCAGAATGAATCACGAGCTAGAAACCTTGAACTATTGAAATTGTAGGAAATTGTGAATGAGTTGTTAGAATTAATTATATCAGGTCATTTGGAACACGAGAATACCTTTATTGAACGATTATCACACACATACAATACACAGGATTTTTCTTATTAATTATTATAAACGGCACACTGATACATTGACACTCAAAACAAAAAAAGTACTTCTTTGTAAATTAATTATTACTAAAGTAAAAGCCCCAATAGATGATCATGTACCAGTATATGATCACTCCATATATTTGTATATTTATATTCAAATTGTATGCTTGCTAATAGTAATATAAATAAAAAATCTGCGTTTATAGTACAAGACGTTATGCGACAGAATTGCCATCTAAAGTTCTAATATGTAACTACTAAACGAATACATCAACCAATAGCGTGTATTCTTCTCGATCTTGTTTACTCTCTCTCTCAATCTTTCTCACTATAGCTCTCTCCCACCTCTCGCTCCACTATGTGTGATGCTCACTTGCTTGCTCCCGCTCCATGGCTATTTGCTTCATGCTACGTTCGCCCTTTCTCGCTCTCTTTCAATCGGTCTCAATCGCTCTCTCCCTTCTCTTCGAAAGGAAAATTGATTTCAAAAGGCGACAGCAACTATGGATATCCAGACCTAGCTCGTTCATCAGAATGCTCAATCAGGACAATGGTTAGTTATGGTCAAAAAGCGTTGTTCAGAAAGAAGGGACAAATGGGATGATGGGATGCTTGGGGTATCTAACGAAATTTAAATTTAGATAAAACGTATATTATCATTCAATGTTCTACGATTCTCCAATGACAACATCAACTCTTTACACAATTAAATCCTACAATGTAGGACAACTGAATTTTAAAATTGATAATCGTTTTAAGACGTCTTCAGTAAGCAGTGTTGGCCTAGTGGCTTCAGCGTGCGACTCTCATCCCTGAGGTCGTAGGTTCGATTCCCGGCTGTGCACCAATGGACTTTCTTTCTATGTGCGCATTTAACATTTGCTCGAACGGTGAAGGAAAACATCGTGAGGAAACCGACATGTCTTGGACCCAAAAAGTCGACGGCGTGTGTCAGGCACTGGAGGCTGATCACCTACTTGCCTATTAGATTGAAACAGATTCAGAAATCTGAGGCCAAGACCTAAATAGGCTGTAGCGCCACTGATTTATTTTATTTAGTAAAAAGCTTACTATAAAGTTAACGATTATTTTTGTTGATAAAAGGGCCTGGGACTAGTGCTAGACAGGCTACTTCTAATAATTAATTTGCGATATTTATTTTAAAATAAGTGTTGTTTGATGATTTGCTATTTTAAAAGAGTACCGAGAGTTTTGAACGCCGGCTTTTTCTCTCGGCCTACACCCTCTGTCTTCTTTGCCGATGAGTAGGGATGTCTACCGATACAATTTAATAACGTGGAATAAGTGATACCTGTATTTTATGTTCCTTAATAAACATATTTTTTATTTTAATACAGCAGACGCGGCATGGAGCTAGGCGGGTAGGTGATGCTCAGCGGCGCCATCTGGTCCGCCGCGCCCGTGAGCCTGCGCCCGCTCGCCCCGGGGCTGCCCGCTGCGCGGCCACCGCTGCTTGCGCTCGTCATGCAAGCTCTGCATGATGACGACACCAGCTTTTTAGGTAAGTAACTGTTGAACTGCTTTTATGGCATTTTTGGTACCACTATCACGAACCCGTCAATTTCCGATAAAAATTCTAACGTATACTTATTCTGAAAAGGTCGGCAACGGGCTCGCGAGGTTAATATGGTACAAAATAGTACCCATTACTACACAATATTAATTGTCAAAGCTTTTTAAGTTTCCATGTGTCTGGGACTTTGATTATAAAATGTTCTGTACCTGTTCTTGAATAAAATCAAGTCGTAATTCTCGAAGCAGTCTAGGCAATATTCAAGCCTCTATATACTTCGTTCTGAATAAAATTAGATGCCAGAATTTTCAGGCTATAATGCCTGAATTTCATTCAATTTGAAACAGTAGTTTAAGAAGAATAACTACACTTCTAGCAGACATAGAAGCTTCATTTAGAATACAATTAGTGTTTAGTGTATAAATCAAAGAAAAGCAATACAACAACATCTAAGATTTGTAATGATAAATTCGATGTTGTAAGGTTAGATAATTACGTAATTACTTAAGACAGAAAGTTCCTTAACTAGGGACTGAATTAACCGACATGGATCTCACGAGTTCTTACGGTAGAAGCATTGTGGGACTTTGTTTTTGATAACATTCGTATTACACTTAAAATAATTCTTACGCTATGGAGGACTATGAGCTTTGGACTATCCGATAAATCTCAATACGTGGCGTTGTATGTCATTGTTTTAATAACCTATTCACAAAAATAAAAAAAGTGCGTGTGTGTCAGCTACGACGCACGATTGGAGTTTACTCCTTACGAACGATAAAATGGCGATAATGTTCTGTGGCTGTCGACCATATTTTCATACTAAAGGTGGTAAGAATACATGTTTTTATAATATAAATGTTTGTAGTAGTAATAAAACGTACCTACATCATCTATGCCCAAATAGGATTTTCTTTCTGTGACCAAAGTTACTTTTATAGTAAGAGAAGAATAAGAATGAACAATCTTTTTAGTTTTAATTTCACTGACCATTACTATTGACAAAACTCTATGGCACGCTAGACAATCTACTTTTATTTTTTACACCTGTCAACACTGACAATGTTGTAACGTGGCTGTCAAAACGTGAATTCAAAATAGAAAAGTCTGTGTAATGTATTCCATCTCATTCTTTTACACGTTCAATCCATTTGTCTCTTTCTACATAACGCCTCAACTTTTCGTGTTACACTTGATTTTACTCCTCATAAAATTTCCGTACCGGGCCTTATAACTCAATACGTTTCTTAAGGAGTAAACTCCAATAATATAAAAATGTGACATGAGTATAGCCAACAAAAATTGTACATTATGTAGAACTTTTTTAGTCAAATGATAGCTATAAAGTAATCCTAAATAGCTCATATCGATCTACAACAAACGTTGTATCAACTTAGTCACGCAATGTTATCGCAGCCATCTTGACGCCGCGCCGGCCTGCATATTGTTTTGGGTAATTTCAAACAATTTTCTTTGCGTTCTTAAATATATATACACTATGCAAAGAACTATGAATACAGCATTTATTATCTCAATTGTTAGTAAAAATATAGGTTGGTATTTTGACGCATATTTTGTTGTGTTAACCGCGCATATCTCCGCAGTTCCTGGGTTGATTGACCTGCAAAAATAGCGATTACTATTATAAGAAACATTGTTAGGTATACTATTTATTGAATAATATAATTTTTTTACGACAAACGCCGTAAGGGGTTGGTATATATAATTTTGCGTGTATTTTGACGAATAAGCTTGGAACTGTAAAATGTCGAGTTTCTGATTTTTTTTTTGACAATTCACTCCAATTGACCTAGTCCCATGCTAAGCTGGTGAAGCTTGTGTTATGGGTACTAGGCAACGGATATATGTACATACATATTATAGATAGATAGACATATAAATACATATTAAAACACCCAAGACCTAAGCACAACACCAAATGCTCATCACATCGATGTTTGTCTCAGCCGGGGATCGAACCCGGGACCCATGGATCCGCAGTCAGGGGTACTAACCACTAGACCAATGAGCCGTCAAATTTTATCAACGTGTTTAATACATTCTTTCCAATGGTAAAGAGAAACCTAGCGTTATGTCTCCCAAACGTCATAAACGTTTTGGATTTTGATGGTAGTGATTATTTGAGCTGTTTCATTTCTGAATTTATCTAGAGTTCACTGTGTGGTATCAATTCGCAAAAGCAATGCTCGATTTAAAAGTAATAATTTTTAAAATATTAGAGATGTTATAAATTAATGGGCATTAGTTTTATTTAAGGGCTATTTAAGTTTGTTTTTACTAGTGAACTAAACATTCGTAATTAGTTACCAACTCTACGTAAAAAAAGTGCGTGCGTACAAAGTACACATGTCAGAAGTGAAACTTCTTTGTAAAGTGATTATTGCTAAGGTAAAAGCCCCAATAGATGATCATGTACCAGTATACGATCACTCCATGTATTTGTATATCTATATTCAAACTGTTTACACACTGTATACGTGCTAATGATAATATACAATAAATAAAAAATCTGCGCTTACTGCACAAGACGTTATGCGACAGAATTGCCATCTAAAGTTCTAATATGTAACTACTAAACGAATACATCAACCAATAGCGTGTATTTTTTCTCGATCTCCCTTACTCTCTCTCTCTCAATCTTTCTCACTATAGCTCTCTCCCGCCTCTCGCTCCATGACTATTTGCTTCATGCTACCTTCGCCGTTTCTCATTCTCTCTCTCAATAGGTCACAACCGCTCTCTCCCTTTTCTTCGACAAAAACGCTGCACATCTTCGTGACGCTATTATTAATATTGCGTTTCATCCGTAAAAATTTTACCCTCATGCGCCTAAAGACGTTTCATTTCAAAAATCTAAAAATGTCTAGCCCTCACAGACTGTTAGGTCGTATACCTATGTTCACGTTTCACGAGTTAAAAAACTTATATTAAATATTTGGAGTTATATCGTTTAAGTTAGCTTATCGCGATATTCTTTTATAGTTATTTAAAGTTCGTGCAGACGTCGGGTTGTTTCCAAAGTTTCATGACGCAAAAATGGACATACTGTATAAGAATACGATCAAGAAATCTAAAGTCTTCTACAAGTAGTGTCCAATCTGTGCCCACAGTGAGATGGGTGGATTATCACGAATCCTGAAGTTTATAGAACCGGTCTTTCTTTGCGACCCTACCGTTAGGGGCCTATATGCTTTTCGTTGAAGCTCCAGATTCCGTTGCTGAAGTTCAGAAGGGCATGGAACGTTTGAATGAATGAATGTTTATTCCATCTTTTGTGGAGCCGATCAGTGGCAACTCAAAGCCCTCGTTTACACGTCTCCAAAGCTGTCCAAGGGAATTTCTGTCAGCCCTCCATACCACCCCTGAACGGAGAATGACTCACTAGCCCACACCGCGAAGAAGGAAGCCTACGCAGCGCGATAGCACTGGGGATACTCTTTACACTGGCCATGTAGGTATGTCTTGGGCAGTTGTCTATCACTAACTGACTTGTATCAGAAGAGACTCTGCTACGTGGAGTCTCGGACTGGGGTCGACTAAATCTAGTCCAATTTAATCTCAAGAAGACATTTTCTTGCGCGTTTAAGTCACTACTCCTTTTTTCGAAGACACTCTTCTTAAAGACACAGCCAGCGGAATATTTGGCGTTGACGTATCGAAGGAAAGTTTCGCGGTCATTTAGAGGGAAAGGCTAAATTAGCCTCCAAGAAGCTTGGTGTGCTCTGCAAGGCCAGAGTCAGACGGTACTTCACTCCGGGCCAATCCCGCGGCGGGAGCTCCACAGTACCAGCTACTTCCACTTGACCGTATTCCGAGTGGCTTGATCCCTTGGTGTTGCGTAGAAATCTTCTGGATCCAGCCTATGCAAAGCATGAGACCATAACTCCAAATCTCAAATCTCCTTGCTTTAATGAAAAAGCTTTAAAAGCTGAGTCAAGAAGAATTCTTTCAACATTTTCTATTGTAGTAAAAATGCGAATATTTTTGCTATCAGAGCGAGAAAAGAGGTTGCAATCATGGCATAAAAACCTATTTTCATTACTCAGAGGCCGCAATGCGCGGTTTTTAATCTAGTTTGTGTAGATGGAAATACAATTACCGTTTTATTGGGAATGCAGTAACTAATTAATTAGGTACTATAGGGAAACCACCATACTATTAAGCCATGATCTTCAGTTAAGTCATACCCATTGTGGACGCGGTTTTAACAGCTACGGTACGGTCTTTAAAGGCCAGTTACGCACCCACTAAAATGGATGTGTGCTGCGAGGACCGCTGTTTTTGGGCGTCCTATAAGCTCCTTTGTATGCTATAAAAAAATCAATGGCGCTACAACCTTTTTAGGTCTGGCCCTCAGATTTCTGTATCTGTTAAAATTGCAATAGAAAAAAAAATATTTTCGTTTAGTTTTTTATAATTTAATTTTTATGTTCAATTGTTTTTATCTCTTCCTGTATTTTATGTTAGCCTATAAGTGCTTGTCACATTCAAAATTTTATTTTATTTTTCTTGACCATGAGCTCTCAAATAACGTGAAAGCCGTTGAAATAACAACCGTATATCACCTCCCTGAACACATACTACCCAAAAATTAAGGGTACACTGCCACAGAAACCAAACTTTTTAAATTTGTTTTAATTTTCTATTTATTCATTTTAAATTATTATCAGAAAATTACATACAGTAAATATTTGTGTGTTGGAATTAAGTAGAATTTGACATCTAAGATACTGTGAACTCACTCTGCGAACATGAAATAAAATACTGATGCTAGTACTGATATAAATATATAATATCGCTACTCTGAACTCTGCGAACATATAAAGATGTTGATACTCGGAGACAGCATTCAGTAGCAAGTATTGAGTAAGCATATTGAGGAACAAAGGTTGAATTTTCCTTTAAAAGCTGAATTCCAGGAAACGCCTGCAGTTTTCATATGGCATACAAACCCGTTTTCATTTGTGACTCATTCGGTTTTCCCGGTACATTTGTCACGCTAATTTCTACTTTATGACTCACTGATAAGGTATAGACTTGGAAGTGTTACTTGGAGTTGATCATTCCATGTGCAATGTGCGTCTTTGTAGGGGTTTTCAACGTTTTCAGGATTATTTTAAGTAAGTTATAGTATTAATTAGACTAAGTTTCTGTGGGTTAATTTTCTATTCAAGAGGAAGGTGGTTACATTTTTAAAGGCTTTAAAGAGAGAGTATTTAGACCATAAGTTTTGACAATTATAATTCACTGTTCTTGATATTATGATAATAAAATGATTGAATGCCTATTTTTATGTGGCTGATTGTGCGGTGTTTTTTTCAATCAATCTGAATGTAGCAACTTTTAGAAATTTTAGTATAAGTTTCTACTTGTATATTACAAAACCCTCGTTTTACCATATTAACAAATACAGAAAATTTTGATTTATAATTTTAACACCATTGCAAATACATTCACTATTAGGTGGCCTAAAAAGTTCGTAGACTGACTCATAGATGGCGCCTCTAGTATTAAACGAATATGATTATTTAGTCCTAACCTTCAAAAAACACGTGTATAAATTTAACAACAAAAAAGCAATTGTCAACCCGACAGTCAAGAACGGCAACGTCGCTAGAAAAGAAAAACATTAAAGCGATATTTAAAGGAAGAGTACATATAGTACATATCCATTAAAATGGGTGTTCATGGGCATTGGGCTGCAATGACTGCCCCCTTTGGGAGTCCCGTCGGCTCATTTGCCCCCTATACTATATAAAAAAATATTGTTTCATCATTTAGAGTTCAAGGAATAAATCAATATTCCCATAATTTGAGTCTACATAATATTAACCCCATTTACTGCCGTGGAACAAAGCAAGTAGATATAAAAAAAATTTAGCAGGGGATGTTTTCAGAATTGACATACTTTATCTTATATGAATTATACATTGTTCTTATATGAATTAAAAACTTAAATTAGACACATCACATCATCAGACGCATTATACATGTTTAATTGTACGAACCATCATAACATCAAATATAATTTCAAAACACTTTAATTTGAATTTTATGTGACATAGTCACAACAATAATAATTTAGTGTATTTAATGGTTAACAAGAACCAGTGTTACACATATGGAACTCTGACAGAATTATTAATTAAGCGTCGGTATTGATTTTCGATTAGAATCCGAGTTATTTCGATACAAAATGAATGATTAACCAATATTTAATGTCATTAATCATTATGTCAAAATATTAATTGTTTATTAATATGGAGAGAAATGATATGATAACAAAATCAATCTCTTATTAAAAAAAACGACTTGATATTTTGGAATGGTTAGGGAATAATTTTGCACGAATTGCTTTAATTATCAGTATAAAACTACTATAATTTATGTGGCAGAATACAATATTTATTTATTGCGCTATCGTACACAAACATGACAATTTATATTACATTAAATACGCCGCGCCAGCTGTCTTACGAATTTTCGATCAGGTGTTCTGACGCGAGTTTAAATTTTTTTACCCATTCCAAAAAAAGTGTACAACGCCACTAAAGAAGTTTTCACTTCAAAAGTTTAAATTTATTTATTTAGCGTTATGTGAAAATGTTAGACGACTTCTTGGTGCCTTCAAAACCTTCCTGGCTATAACCAAAGAACATGGTTCCAGCAGGACAGAGCAACGTCACCCACATCCAATACGTCTCTGCCACGATCGTGAAATTTTCTTAGGCAAATTGATTTCCAGGAGAGGCGACATAAATTGGCCTCCACGCAGTCCTGATTTAACCCCTATTGATTTTTTCTAAAATCTAAAGTCTACGCCAATAAGCCGACTTCTCTGGCGCAATTAAAAGAAAATATCCGTCACGAAATGGCAGCCATCACTGAGTCCACCTGCCGAGCCGTCATAAGTTATTTTATTGTTCGATTAAATGAGTGCCGCGAACGCGAGGATCTACATTTGGACGGTATTATTTTTAAGAAATAAATTCCTAAAATGTGTACTTTAATGAATAAACACTTTTTTGATACACGACTTACTTTTTTTAATCGATCAACTAAATATCAACTTCCTTTTGAGACACCCTAAATACTTTTTGACAATATTAAAAACAATGTTAGCCTAGTGTGTCAGGCATAGGAGGCTGACAATCTACTTGCAGAAATCTGAGGCCCAGACCTAAATAGGTTGTAGCGCCACTGATTTATTTCATTTATTATAAACAAAACACATTATTAGCAAACAATAGAGCGATACCATTGTTCTACAATTATAGCTATTAAAGGTTCATACAAAACCAGTTTATATTTCGCTTTTCTAGTACGTGAACTGTATGTAGGGCAAGCGGCCACGAGAACAGCGATACTATTTTTACTATTATTTTGCTTGGGAGAGAAGGAAAACTAACAGGTGGATCACATTGAATGAAGTGTTAACCGCCAAGTATTACGTTAGCAGATTTACTGCAATTTAACCCCCCAAAAAAAAAGCTCAGCAAAAGCTCTCAAAAATATTAGTACATAAACGAGTATTATTAATTAATATGTATTATAGCTATCATTTTGTAGGAATCATCGAAAATGCATTTCGTTTTCAAGCATAGACAATGTCTGGGTAACATGTGTAAGAAAAGTAAATAATTACTGTTGACGTAATCACCAAATAAGAAAATCAAAGACCCCCTCCCCCCCCATAGTGCTTGCGTAATACTTGAACGGCTTCATCGACACCTGCCACGCCTGAAGCTAAGAAGGTCGTATCGGTTTAGAAATACCTCTACTAGCCGCTGGTTTTACAGAGTTGGTGCGCGGCAGTGCAGCATAAGTTCTATGTGATGGAACGCCAGAATCGAGAAAAGAATGGAATTTTATAAATATTCTGTTTAATTATTTGCGTGCTACTCGTTCTGAGGTCGTTCGATCCGCGGCTACCAATGGATATTCTATGTGCGGATGTCTAAGAACATGTAACAGGCACAGATGGCTGATCACTACTTGTTTATGAAATAGAAATGATCAAGGACGGATGCCATCTTAGGCTAAGTCCCATATAGTGTTGTATTTGTTTTATTTGTTCAAAGTTAAAATGCAAATATTTATAGAGAAATAGACATATATGATTCATATAATATATTTGCGTTTGAACCTCGTAAATATCTATGTCTAAGAAAAAAATTCAGAGAAAATAATAGCTGCTACTTTGAACTTAGTAAATATTTCCGATCGCGACTTCTCTAAGTAATACGAAGCTTTTTC